CTAGTTGATTCATATTTTTTGATGCCAGATACGAACATTTTAACGGATATGGAATAAAACCATGAAAAAAACCAGAACATGAAACACATTTTTCATTAAGTGCCCGCAAACGCAGAAATGCTTTTATCTTCTAAATTCATTCATTTTTAAAACCATGAACAAATAATTCAAAATGGTGTGGTCTTTTTAGTAGCTGCCTTCAAACAATATTTTTTCTCACAACCTGCACGGCCAACAAGAAAGTTTTATGGCGCAGTGGTTAGTTAGTATGACTGCTTGCCATTCAGAATGTTCCGGGTTCCATTGCCGGTGGGGTCATTCACAAAGATGATATTTATAACTTTGTAAATTTCTTCCCAGTCTGGTTAGAACATTGCAGGCTGAACCACCTGATTGTCCGAAAAGCAAGATGGTTCCGTGCTCGGATGGCCAAGTCGGATGGGCACGTTAAGCCGTCGGTCCCGGTTGCTGTCTATGATTGAGGTCGATAAACAACCTTGTCAGAGTCCTGCTTGTAGTAGGCAGTTTAACAACACTAACACCAGGGACCATTGGGTCGTTTGACGACTCGGTGTCCCATTCGGAAAGAAAAACCGGAAAGAGGTACTAATTATTTTCAAGCGAAGAATTTATTTCACTATGGAAAATCCTTCAAAGAGATACTTATTTCATTTTCCTTTGAAACTTAAATTCCTCAACTTTTTTCGTTCTGTTCGCCATTTTATGAATATTTCCCTTCCGTACACTTTATTTTTATTATTATATTTATAGAGTTATAAAGTTGACGTCGCAGCGACTGCGGAGTACCTATAAAGTGGAAGGTGAGTGCAAAAATTATGGCACAATATTTTAAAATACGATGTTACGAATACACCTATAGGTATGAGAGTACCTATTAGTGGCGCTAGGTAACATTATATCGGAGGAGTAAAAAGTGATCATAGACAACAACCGGGACCGTCGCGTTAACGTGCCCATCCGAAGCACGGAACCATCTTACTTGCGGACAATCAGGTGGTTCAGCCTGCGATATCCTAGCTAGACTGGAAAAAAACACAAAATGCTAAATATCAATTTTGAGAGTGTCCCACCGATAATCGAACCCGGAACCTTCTGCGTCGCAGCCAGTCGTACTACCACTGCGCCACATCACCCGTCAGATTTATTCCATTTAATCCGCAAAACAACATGAAACCAAATATTGTGGTTTCAGCTTAAAACTGGGTTAACGCAATCAAAACAATTCACAACCACTAGAGACTATAAAACGTAATAGAACAAAGAACAATGTCATCCACTCCAGTTTCCGATATCTACAAACAATTGTTCAAACAAAAACAATACGTCGCGCGGTACCTACCGACTCGTGGAAATTTTGTTTTCTATCAGGGTTGGTGCTTAGAAAATACTCAGGTTGAACATTATTTAACCATTTATTGTACACAAGAAACATTACAGGACAAAACATAAAGAAAATGGACATAACAGGCACTGCTTATCTCTAAAAAAGAAATTTCTTACAGCAGACCTGACATTCTTCCTGTTTTCATGTGGTATACAACAGTTAATAAAATTATCGACCCGATAAACCCTAGTGTGTCAGCATAAGCACTGTAGAGACACTTTTCTCACGGGCGAGAAGACAAAAATGTGTCAGACAGTATGGAACTTATCAAAACAAATGAAGAATTTTGACGTACAGGTGTAGAGAAAATCTATGTCTATGTTGCGTGGTTACATGCTAAGGGAACTGGTGTCAGTTTTTCAACTGCGAAAGTGGCGCATAATCCAGAAATTGGAATGGGTATTATGGTAAGGTTGACGACTAAACATAGTTTTTTACCTTTGATCCTAGAGGAAAGATGTTTCTGTTGAACTCAGCGTTTTTAAATTGGTCATCCGGTATTTCCCTTTACCTAATATGATACTGTGCTTATACTGTGGCAACCCTAGCTGACAAAACTGTTTTGATAAATATTACGTACGGACTCGTCGATTCCAAATTCTGTTTTTAATTTTCTATCCAACGAGTGTTTCAACTCGACAGTCTCGGTCAACTCCGACGGGATGCGCATTTACGAAATACAGTGAGCTGAAAAAGAACGTAATTTTTGGTGCAGTTTACCCACAAGACTTGGGTATTCGTTTTTACGATCTAGAATAAAATATTTAATCTAATTTGGCAGTGTCTTGCAATTTCTATAAGATTTTATCCAAACATATTTTTTTAGCTCAATTGCATTTCCAGAAAAGTTCTATTGTTAAGATAAAATTATAATTTAGGTATAAATCAATTCGTACTAAGTCTTCTTCTTCTTTTTTGATACACCGATACATTGAGTGATACACCGAGCCGTCCAACGACCCTATGAACCCTGGTGTCAGAGTTTTTCCACCACCTACTACAAATAACAACCCTCTGTCATGGTTGTGTAACGACTTCAACGTGATCATAGACAGCAGCCGTGACCAACGTCATACGTGCCCTCCGAAGTACGTAATCATCTTGCTTTTTAAACAATCTGGTGGTTCAGCGTGTAGTAGAAAGTGTTAAACGAAACGAACCATCAGACAATGGCGCATGCGAAATTCGACTCTTACTTCTGATTTAACAAGTAGATATGTTAAAAAACAAAAAACCCGACTGCGGTAATTTTGAAGTAGTATTTTGCTGTAAAAATTCGCCATCTTGAATCTATAATTTTTTAATATAGCCAGTGTGACTCGCGCTGCTGAGACGAATCTAACGACACCTCATATGTCAAAATCAACTATCCGTTTGGGCTGTAGCCCGTGAAAAAGAATTTTCTTGTCCACATACATACATACCTACTCTCAAAACACATAACCCTCCTTCTGAGGCAGTCGGGTTAAAATATATGCGCACGTGCAGAATAAAAAATCTTCGGATAAAATCAGCGCTCGGTCGTAATTCCTCAACACGCTTCCTGTATAGACAGCCATATATATGGGCTTTATGTTATATAGTTATTGTTTTTATTTTGTACTAGCTGCCCGTCAGCGGTTTCACCCGCTGCAACCTATTATTCCGCGGGAAAAAAGCATTACTCGCCAAGAGATGTCGCTGTTAGTTTTCGGCGAAAACGTTTAAAACGCGAATCGGCTCAGTCACGCCACCTTTGCAAAAATATTGGAATATGCGTGATCCCGTAGGAATAAGACATTTTCCCGTGGTAAAAAATAGCCTATGTGTTATTCTAGATACCTACTCTTCTATATTTGTGCAAAATTTCATGTTAATGTAACTAGCCGTTTTAGCGTGATGTCGTAACAAACACACACACAAACATCCGCCTTTATAATATTAGTAGGATTGTTTTATGTGTCTATTTTAGTTGAAGAGCACTCGCGAACTCTCCAATGTTCGTATTTTATTGTGAAAAGTGTTGTTCAACCATTTTTTTGCTCTATCCATTATGTTTGATAGTCTTTATGATAGTTTTCTGTGTTTCTGCTTTTTTTTAGGCACCATTTTTAATAACATGCTTTGATTTTTTTTTATTTATACACACATACATTTTTTTCATCCTTAAAAATATTTAGCGATCGTGAAAGTACTAAAAGTTACAGAATTTCAGTAGCATAAATTCTCATTCCGTCATGCGTGTGTCTAGTGAGTCACCGAGTAGACTAACGACCCGGTGGACCCTGCTGTATTAACTATGATGGCTTCATACGTTGGAGTTCGAAGGGTACTGAATTCTAAGTTACTTTTTATGATTACTTACATAACAGTGATTACAAAACCTTCTCAGAGGCAGAGAGAGGCCTACTAACTATTAGTGCGTTTCCTCAAATAGGTCCTCTGGCGTCATGTTGGTAGCATTGAAAATTAGTGTCTTCTTAATTCGGACGGGTTATACGGCGACCATGTTGAGCCGCACGTAATATTATAGCCGCCGTATAACCCGTCCGAATTAAGAAGAAGCCCATTTACAACGCTATCAACATGACGCCAGAGGAACTATTTGATGAATCGCTCTATTACTAAATCGGTCATTAACGTGGTATTTTCGGTCGATCAACGAGTCGAGTTTTCACTTCTTCATCAAGGTTCACCAAGGGACATTCGGGGATTGGACGTTCCACGGCATAAGCAAGCAGTTCGCTTGTTTTCCCTCTCATTCGTAGTGATACATCAATATTTGCTATGTGAATACTTTTTCATCGGCAGTTCGTGAGTGTTGTTTTAGTGGGCCTCTGTTTGCGTAGGACACCCGATGGGACATTGAAGTCTGGTAGAAAATAGAGGTTCTAAGTACATCACATCGGCCTATAGCCAGAAAATAGAGAGCTTGCAAAAGGTTCACTCGACCCTATATATGATTTTTGCGATTGTCACTTGTTACAAGGCTTCCGGTTTCCGTTAGGTATCCATTTAAAACATAAAGTAAAGCTATGCTTTCGGTAGCTCTCAGAAAGACATGTAGCCGGTCAGATTGGTGGTGTCAGTTTATAACTAACTATAACAGCCACAAAAGTCCACTGGTGGGCATGGGCCTCCCCCTATCGGGGGGTATTGCATACTTGGCAGGCGGATTGGCGAGCGCAGTGTAAGATGATGCATTTACAGGGAACGCTGCTGCCCATTCCCTGGATGAATATCCCTTAGTCGGTTTTTACGACACCCATGGGTTGAATTGGGGTGATGCTAGTCTAAGCCGGCATCACACGGTGTCAGTTTAAAGCTACCTACAATTTACTAAAATGAGGTATCACGAGGATCTCTCTTATCGTGTGACACACCGAGTCATCCAACGACAGAAAGCACTCTGGTGTCTGATTTTTACAACCGCCTACTACAAGTAGCAGGCCTCTAACATGGCTTGTAACGACCACCGTCTACGTACTCATAGACAGCAACTGCGACAGATCCTCCAAACTACAGAACTATCTTGCTTTCGGACAATCAGGTGGTTCATACCGCACTTTCCTAACCAGACTGGTAACAAATACACAACGTGATAAATATGAACATTGTGGGGTGACCTACCGGGAATCGAACCCGGAACCTTCTACGTTGCAGGCAGTCGCACTACCACTATGCCACATCTAAATTAAAGTATCAGAGGATGCTACAGTACAATATCTCTGAACTGACACACCATGGTAGTTTGGCTCACCATGTCAACAGTTGACTGAGGCTAGCTATACCTCACTTTCAGTAATATTTTCCCACTTCAGCCGGCCGCACTATTTTTGTTGTTCCGACAGTGTTTACTTTTGACCGACGCTGCTTCGGTGAAATGACACCTTGCAAAAAAAAGCATGGAATGTGTTTGACACAAAATAACACACACACTAAACCAATACATTGTATATGTTACAGGCAAAACCCTTAACCAGTCAATAACGTTATTGACTGGAAAAACCAGTCAATTACGTTATTGCCTAAGGGCCTCAGTCAAAACCCTTATTGACTGGTTTTATCTATTAAAAGCAGTCAATAACGATATTGACTGACGTGCCCAGTCAAAACCCTTAATAGGTACTTCTGCCCCGGTAGCAGCAAGGTGTCGATCGCCGGTTGTTATTCCTGAGGACATGCCCAAGTCGCAGACGGCTCTTCACTATCTAATGCTGGCTTCACCTCCTAGATGTCATAGACTTCACGACGGTGGTTGTTAGGCTCCCGCCTAGTTCAATCGGCGAGCGAGGCTGTAGGCTTTCTTCTAGCTGCGACCATCTAAAGGTCCTGATGGTGATCTCAGACCAGCCAGGCAGTCTAGGTTGCTACCACCGGGTCGGACGTACCTATTAAGGGTTTTGAAAAAAAATCTAATGGTCTTGATGGTTACTATGCAGAAACCATTGCGTTGCGGTGAGTTTATGTGCGATGCGGCAGGTAGCAGTTCGGTGCGGAGAGTTTCGGTGTGCGATGCGGCGGGTAGCACTGAATTGCGGTGAGTTTATGTGCTTTGCGGCGGAAAGCAGTGCGGTGCGGGAAGTATTGTTGTGTTTTGCGGCGGGTAGCGCTGAATTGCGGTGAGTTTATGTGCTTTGCGGCGGTAAGCAGTGCGGTGTGGGAAGTTTTGTTGTGTGTTGCGGCGGGTAGCGCTGAATTGCGGTGAGTTTATGTGCTTTGCGGCGGAAAGCAGTGCGGTGCGAGAAGTTTTATTGTGTGTTGCGGCGGGTAGCGCTGAATTGCGGTGAGTTTATGTGCTTCGCGGCGGAAAGCAGTGCGGTGCGGGAAGTTTTGTTGTGTGATGCGGTGGGTAGCGCTGAATTGCGGTGAGTTTATGTGCTTTGCGGCGGTAAGCAGTGCGGTGCGGGAAGTTTTGTTGTGTGTTACGGCGGGTAGCGCTGAATTGCGGTGAGTTTATGTGCTTTGCGGCGGAAAGCAGTGCGGTGCGAGAAGTTTTATTGTGTGTTGCGGTGGGTAGCGCTGAATTGCGGTGAGTTTATGTGCTTCGCGGCGGAAAGCAGTGCGGTGCGGGAAGTTTTGTTGTGTGTTGCGGCGGGTTGCGCTAAATTGCGGTGAGTTTATGTGCTTTGCGGCGGAAAGCAGTGCGGTGCGGGAAGTTTTGTTGTGTGATGCGGTTGGTAGCGCTGAATTGCGGTGAGTTTATGTGCTTTGCGGCGGAAAACAGTGCGGTGCGGAGAGTTCCGGTGTGCGATGCGGCGAGTAGCACAGATTTGCGGTGAGATTATGAGCGATGCGGCGGGTAGCAGTGCAGTGCGGTTAGTTTAGATGCGATGCGGCGGGTAGCAGTACGGTGCGGTGAGCTACGGTGCGATGCGGCGAGTAGGAGTGGTTACTGCATAGTAACCGTCAGGATCGATATATATTTTTTTAAATAGGATAGGCTCGCATTTGTCTGCTATCTCACCAGCTGATAAAAGGAGTAATCCTAGTCAGCGACGCAATCCCGGAGGTGGAATGGGGATAATCAGGTCGTGGGGCGATTGTGCACGCTCACTGAAATGCATCTTAAAGAAGATAGAAGATGGAGGCAGTCAGAGTGAAAGTCTACTGTTTCACTCGCCGGTGGCACTGAGCCCGAGTCCTCGAGTAACTACCGGGTGGTCTATGACTTCTGGGAGGGGAGGCCACGTATTTGCTGCCGTCAACATAAGTGAAGAGCCGTCTACGACTTGGGCATGTCCTTATGGAATAACAACCGGCGAGCGAGACAGTAGACTTCCACACTGGCAGCGACCATCTAACGGTCCTGATGGTGATCTAAGACCAACCAGAACATACCTATTAAGGGTTTTGACTAGGCACGTCAGTCAATAACGTTATTGACTGATTTTATTAGACAAAATCAGTCAATAAGGGTTTTGACTGAGTACCTTAGGCAATAACGTTATTGACTGGTTTTGCCAGTCATTAACGTTATTGACTGGTTAAGGGTTTTGACTGTAACATATATAATAAAGTCGTTTTTTGCGTTTCTTTTTCTGTAGGGATGTCGTTAGAATTCCTTAACTGCTCCTAAACTAAACAACGGATTTTGATGCAGTTTATTGCCACATCTAAACTGAATTATCAGAGGATGCTACAGTACAATATCTCTAAACGTGGCACACTATACACAAACTATGGTGGTTTGGCTCATCGTGTCAACATTTGACTGAGGCATGCTATACCTCACTTTCAGTAATATTTTCCCACTTCAGTCGGCCACACTATTTTTGTTGTTTCGACAGTGTTTACTTTTGACCGACGCTGCTTTGGTGAAATGACATCTTGCAAGAAATAACATGGGGTGTGTTTAACACAAAATAACACACACTCCGACAATGTAAACAATATTATGCAGGTCTAAATCAATACATTGTATAAAATTTAGTCGTTTTTTGCATTTCTTTTTCTGTAGGGATGTCGTGGAATTCCCTAACTGCTCCTAAACTAAGGAACGGATTTTGATGCAGTTTTTTGATACATCGACACTGAATTATCAGAGGATGCTACAGTACAATATCACTGAACTGACACACTATACACAAACTATGGTGGTTTGGCTCATCGTGTCAACATTTGACTGAGGCATGCTATACCTCACTTTCAGTAATATTTTCCCACTTCAGCCGGCCACACTATTTTTGTTGTTTCAACCGTGTTTGTTTTTGACCGACGCTGCTTTGGTGAAATGACACCTTGCAAGAAATAACATGGGGTGTGTTTGACACAAAATAACACACGTTCCAATAATGTAAACAATAAGCAGGTTGAAGTTATTTAAAAACTGAAAAATAAGACATTCGAATAAAACTGGTCTAGGCAAGCAGAGACATACGCAAATGCTTTCCTATCTCCATAATATACCTTACGATTGTGGACGATAACCTCAGAGGCCGTAAATTTCTCAATAATGACATTTTGGTGCCGATAACGCGATAATGATAACACGAAGAGTTAAGACTTGAGAATCAAATGTCACTCTTTCTTCCCTTTAGCTTTGTAAGCTTTGGTAAGCTTTGTTCTATTTCTAGGAACGGGACGGAAGATGCGTTGCTCGAAGTATTTCTACTTTGTGATGTTGGCATTTGGTTTATATTTATGAAAACAAGTAAGATACTGTTGTTTATTTTACCCAATTGACTCAGGAGGGTTATGTTTTTCGAGAGTATGTACGAGTATATCTGTACTGTATGAAGACAAGAAATTTGTTTTCATGGGACATACGGCTGGGGATTCTTGACATATGAGGTGTCGTTAAATACAACAATCCCAAGGTTGTATTTTGTTTGCAATAAAAATCCACCTTAATGAATTTATGATTTTTTAATATACTTAGCCAATGTCACTTGCGTTGCTAAGAGTATCTAACAACACCTCATGTGTCACCTATGTCAAAATTCGCCCAGCCATTGGGCTGTATAGCCCGTGAAAAATATTAATTTGTCCATATACATACATACTTGAAAAACATAACATAACATAGCAAATTCAGGTTAGCCAACAAGCGGCTCAGATATCTTTATCGCCTAATAAACTGTTGCACAACATGTAATTTGGTGTTGTTATGAAACTAGAAACCAGAAAATAATGTACAGTCAAATCAGTAGCTTGAGGAATATTTGGTCATAAAATTTCAATATCGTTCGTTATCTCAAACCTATAGGTGGTCTAGACTAAATGCCTAGCTAGATGAATGTAGGAAAATAATTTTTTTTGAGTATGTATGTAGAAGCCCGGAATGTAATGTCACGAGAATGATATTTCATACAATTCTTTTCATCTTGAACTGCTACAGATGCCAACTGAAAAAATACCTACTTCAGTTGGCATCTGTGGCGGGCGCTATCTTCACGTGCGAGTGACGTCAGCCGTCGGCGATGAGAACCGCGTCTCACAAGTGTAGATGGCGTCTCTTCGTTCTCGAGCTCTCACGCCTCACGAGTGGAGATAGCGACTGTGAATATCACCTAACATCTACGTGACAAGGAAAGAATAGAAACAAACACTTTGCAACCCTTCTACATTTACAAAAGGAAACGTGTTAACAATTCATTTCAATGATGCTCCCTGCGATATCAATTTCTACAACAATCCCTTTCTGGGTACACCTATCTGTATCTATATGACACGTTGTCTTAACCACTTTAGAAGAGCTCTCGTCTTATTTAAGGTGAGTGAGTGTCCGCAAGTAAGATGGTTCCGTGCTTCGCATGGGCACGTTAAGCCGTCGGTCCCGGTTGCTGTCTATGATGGCGGTCGTTACACAACCATGTCAAAGGTCTGCGACTTGCAGTAGGTGGTCGAAAAATTCGGACACTAGGGTTCATCGGGTCTTTGAACGACTCGGAAAGAGAGAGAGAGAAAGAGAGATGAGTTTCGCATTTGAAGTCCGTTGTTGCGCTTTTTTATCGCATTTGTAACACATACGTTTGAAAAATTCACAAATACATGCGTTAGGCGCTGTCAAACGGTTTGAAGCCGTATATTTCTGGAAATAAGGTGAAAATAAGCATTTTCTAATACATGGGTAAAAGATGCGATACGATCGTCGCCTGACTGTAAATAGGACCGATTTTTACTAATTCAGTCAACAAAAATATTAAGCAACTGTTTCGACCAAAATCGTTATTTGACGACCAATGGTA